GTCCGAGGTACAGCACCTCGAAGAGGTAACTGAAAAATCAAAGCAAAACATTGATTAAAACAATTGCAATTATATTCTTTCAAAATTTGTGAAATGGGTGACTTCAAACGTTCAGGAATAAGGTCACGTGTCCTAAGTTACAGGTCATTTAAACCTGAAGAAGGCTGTAATAGGGCGAAGCGACAAGTCGTTGTGCTGAAATAAAACCTATTTAGGATCGAGGTTAACCAACAACATTCGTATTGACTGTAATAAAAAAATCTTTCCTAAATAGAGACGGGGGATGCCGTAAACTTGCCGCAAAATTTGATCCACTTCTTACCCCATCAAGTACCCATCTGAATGAAGTGACGTGATAGAAAAGATAGATGGCTCATTCTTTAATAAATTAAGACCTGTGTTAATCCCGGGCCCTATTTTGCGTTCAAAATAACAGTTGTTGTATTTATGTGCTTTAAGAAATTAACGAAAGGTTTAATATGTGTATATGTGCAGGCCTAATGTAAGGCTTTTTAACTTGTAGTGATTAAGTATTAATAGTATAAACTACGTAGTAAAAATTTTCTTGTTGTAATGCCATACTATAATTCAGCTAAAAAGCTGCCACTGTATGGTTGATTTGAGTCGTCAACAAGAGTTCCACGATCTCATACCTTCGCCAAATGATGTTAACCCTTGCGGGTGACGAATTATACAATTTTAATCATTGATTTTGTAAATAAGAGCCTCATTCGCATGGATTATATCAGTTGATCATATTCTCCATCCAATGACGGCCTTATCATAACAAAAAGGCTATTATAGCACTTCCTCATAAATTATGCAAATGAGGTCATGATTTGAATAAATTATGTTTATTGATGTTCACCTTCACTTAACTTCCAAATGTGGCAAGTATGAAATTCGGGGTGCAGCAGTTACAACTATGGAATTATAAGAATTTTCCATTAATTATGCAAATTAGGTCCTCATTTACATAATCTATATCCTCAGATGTTTTTCTCGTTCTCAAGTAGATGTCACAAGTGTTTCATAGTTCTATTATTGAACAAAGCAGATTTATAGAATTTCCTCATTAATTATGCAAATTAAGTCCTGATTTGCATAATTGCCATCTGATTATGTCAAGCATCACTTCAACTACCTACATACCAAAAATCACGACAATACGTCAACCGGTTCTTGAGTTATCGTCCTTCGAATTTTTTTCAACAAATGCTCCTGCAGTTCCAGATCAAGGCGCTAGGGGACCCAAACTCATGTCACTTCTTCTCTATCCCAAGAGCTATCTGCCATCCAAAATTCGTGACCCTTGCATGTCCAAATCACGAGATATCAAAACCGGAAGTTCTGCTGCAGTACCTAGGAAAGCCGCCAGGGGGCCCAAAATCTAATCATTTCTAGGTCTCATGAAGACCTACCCACCTACCAAGTTTCATTCCAATCCATCCACTGCTTCTTGAGTTATCTTGCTAAACCACACACACACACACAAACACACACACACACAGACAAACGCTACTGAAAACATAACCTTCTTGGCGAAGGTAATAAACCATTGATTTATTGAGTACTTATAGTTCCAGTAGTAGTCAAATCCTGCCACAGATGCCATGCTAGCTCGCACACTTACTTGTACAACTGCTGGTATCACTGGCTCCGACGGCCAGGCAGGCAGCGGTGGCGTTGGTGAGTTTTGATGTGGAACACTGACTCTGCCTCGCGCAGCCGCGACCGTACAGTTGGTAGGTTGAGTTCAGCATCAACTTCACAGACTGTAGAAAAGGAAAGGCAAAGTGTGTTAGCCTCTCTCAGGCTTCATGAAGCGGCTAGAAAGGGTATAATTTCGCTGAAATTGACAGATAACATACCAGGGGAGTTGGCCCGCAAAAGGAGTACATTTGCCGAAACAGAATGTACTTCTTTAGCGGACTAAATTCCCCGGCATGTTATCTGTCTATTTGGCCAATTTCTACTCTTTCCAGTTGCTCCCAAAGCTTGGTTGGCGCTAAGCGTCTCCCAGACTTCAGAGCCTGGCCCGGGCCTAGATAGGCTACATCCTCTACGGGACCTCTTAGACAATGATGCATAAAAGCAACACTTAAGAGTTGTAATTTAAAGGTTGTAACGTTTCATACAAAAATAGGATTTGAACTAGAAAGCAAAAGCTTAATGTTTACCTCCGCATATGGTCTGCTATGTTAATTCTTACTCAAACACATTCACCTATATGGTCAGACAGGAGTCTAAATCCCTCCTGCTATAAAATTGCAACATGATGTACCCCAACACTAGTTAGCATGGTAACAGACAGTCTGGTTCAGGCCATTGACCTTTTTGGTTTGGAGAAGTAGAAGAAGAAGAGGAAAAGTAGCAAAAACAAGGGAAATCGTAGATTTCAAACCTCCGGGTTTTTTTTATTCTATTGGTTTAGGTTATTTGTTTGTGTGTAGTATGAAAGTTATGTGCGTAATATGTTTGTATGTGTTTGATGGCTACTGACGGTTGGTTCGGTATGGACTGTTGATTAACGTGTCTGACAGCCTGCACCGTCACCCGCGCCATTACCCCCGCCGTCATCCCGCGCCGTCACCCAAAGTTTTATCGGAACCAGACACCCCTCTGTTNGGCCATGTTGATTTGATTATATGGATGACATCCGCGCGCGCATGAATTTTCGGCCTTTTCCAAAAAAAAAAGTTTTCAACCATACTTTAAATCGTAGAAAACAGTTGCAAAATGAGCAAAAATACACCATAAGTTACAAAAAAAACAAGGGAAATCGTAGATTTCAAACCTCCGGGTTTTTTTGTATTCTATTGGTTTAGGTTATTTGTTTGTGTGTAGTATGAAAGTTATGTGCGTAATATGTTTGTATGTGTTTGATGGCTACTGACGGTTGGTTCGGTATGGACTGTTGATTAATGTGTCTGACAGCCTGCACCGTCACCCGCGCCATTACCCGCGCCGTCATTGCTGCGCCGTCACCCAAAATTTTTATCGGAACCAGACACCCCTTTTTGAATGCTAAGACCCAAAACTGCACACGCCCCATTCCTTAACAACATGGTAATTACCATTTTCAGCATGGCGGGGGTGTCCGGAGCACTTAAACACCTTTTATTTCGACGCCCATAAACACATATGCAATTAAACAAAAACGTTCTGCATCATCTGCAGCCTAATAGCAAGACGTATACCGAACCCCAGACAAATCCGTCCAGCCAATCGCGAGAAACAGCTGCTGACAGAAATGTTTCGAACCATAGTAAAACCTCCTCGCGGAAGGATATCTCCTTCCCCGGAGGTAATTAATAAAAACCACACCAATGTCGTAGAATGCCAAAATCAAACGAAAAAAGACGAAATTGTAAAGAAATGAACTTGAAGACTAGATTATTCGCCAAACCATATTCTGTGCCATTTGCTCAACCCTCATGACCACATAGATTTCATAATGAAAAGAACTTT